TCTTCGATAAATCTTCTGATCCATGATATCTGTCATTTCAACTCCACCATTCTTATACAAATGACATATTTGTTTTGTTCTTATTTTGTCAGGTTTATTACCCTATAAGGGAAATATTTCTCACCTTCTATTACAATTAAAAAACATTTTTTAAATTTATCTGCTAAATTTCTCTCTCTGCCGGTTTTAGTTTCTTTGTTTTTCATACTTCAATAGTTCATGTAATCTGGCTACTGCATAACATGATGTTAAAACATTTTAAGAGTAATAAAAAACGTATGTCTCATTTCCTTTAGAGTGAAGAAAATGTTGCAATTCTTTTGTATATATCTTTTGTTAAGTTACAAAATCTTTGAATGGTTACATTCACATAACCACAAATGAATGAACTCTACCAGAAGAGTTTTTCTTTTTACTGTACATCCGTTTTGGTATGGGGTCATGAATTTGGTTCAAATGAACATATTGGAAGCATATCCTACAATATTCAGTGATCGTTGTCGCGGTTGAAATCGAGTTTAAAGTAATGAAATTGTAAATAATTAACTCTTTATGTTGTATAGCTCCCTATTAAGGTCATTATATTAATTAAGCTAAAAACAATGTTTCTTGACTAAAATCGACCGATTAGCTATTTCTGTTGGGAAATTATATATAACAACTACATATTCTGAGATTTTCATGGTCGCAGCTAAGATTGTACGGCCGTATAGGCGCTATTTTAAATTTATCAAAATTTACCGGGAGCACCGGTAAATATTTATATTCAATTTTTCTCGAAAACAGAAATGTTTTAGGGCTTAAATTTTATAGTGCTTATAATACATTCACATGGGCATTCAAATATACAAAAATTGTAAAGAATCACTATCCATCCAATTTTCACAATTTCCCCAAACTTTGTATTACCTTTAACTTCGTTCTGAGAGTAAATGAGTAATCCAGACAAAATCTAATTTCTTCTATGTCCTAGTTAACCTTGTACTAAAAAACTCTCCCGTTAGGGACACATTCATGTTCTTTTATTTTCTATAACAAATGCTAGAACTCTGTGACCAATTTGCTCTCAGCATACTAATAACCGCGATTTCTGTAGTTTATAACAGTTAATGAACATGTTAATGATAACACGTTTTATGAAACAGCACATTATGACTAATAAAGGAGATATACGAAAGGTCAGACATGAGATTTAGTAGCCGAGAGCTGAAGGTGCTCTTTTGTAAAACTGATTCCATTGAAATCATCATGGCTTATTATGTTCTTCATGACTTTTTTCATTACGCTATATCTTGGTAAATTAAAAACCATGAGAATTGAGTACGTCATCGATCGTTAATGTCAGTACACGCTATCATTAGTAGTAATTGCTGATTATATAGGCTTGTGTCATAAGTCATGAACACAGTTTTCATAAAGGTTCATAGACATGAAGTTATACAATTCGCCTGGGGCTGCTGTCTTGCTCGAATTTGATTTTTTACGTTTTTTTTTGCCTGACTGCTATGAAAGCATATGAATGTAAGTAAGCGGCCAGGGGACTGACGGCTTATAGTCCTCTCCGAGGGACTAGACGTTGTAATGAGGATTAATGCCTTACCAAAATGCACTGCTCTACCACTGAGCATTCGGGTCTCTGTTCCCCCATTCTTTATTTGCGGGGTAGCGAAGTAAGCGAGCAAAATGTTTGACATTTTATCAAAGTGACCAGTGGAGTAAAATCTTTCTCCATCCTGTCATATTCGTTTAGGCAACATACATGTATGTCTGCTCAGTACACAGACAGGGCAAGACATTTCACTCACCATTATCTGCAACTAATGTGGAAGTCAAAAAGAAATCAATTTGATTGTAACTTTATGTATTTCATCATAAGTTCATCGTATAAGTTCAACTCATATTATAATGAAGGCTTACTACGCGTGTCTTGCTCAATATCTGTGGGAGTGGCAGAAGGGGCACTTGCCCTAGACAGCACTCGAAGAACCGCAAAAAATGAAAGAGAAAGAGAGAGAGAGAGAGAGAGAGAGAGAGAAGGAGAAAGGGGAGGAAAAAAAGAAACCAATCATGGTCCAAAATGAATGAATTAATTATAATAGAGAAAGAAATGAACATTAAACGTAACACATAGGCCTACTTGACTCGTATCATTAATTATCAAAATTCGAAACTCTGTTTGACTCCGGGTTGACAGCCGATAATTTTTATAATGCCAAAATGTGGGCATGCAGCGAGGTGGCCAAAGTGAATAGCCTATAATATAATCATGTTGATATTTTTTTTTAACATAATGATTTTTTTGCTCGCTTGCTTTGCTCGCTCATTGAAAAAATTATTAACAGGCCCTATATTCAGCCTACACCTCAGCCCCCCCCCCCATGAAAATATACAGGGTAAAGTGCATCACGGGAGATTTTATTTGGATATGAAGTGCCCTTCCTAAATTACCACGATCTACTCTCGACCACTCCTTGCATATTATAATCTATTATTCTTACTCCCTACAGTGCATCTCTGTGGAGATAATGTTGCATAACCTTCTTTAAATGCATGTATGAGCTCAAATATCTAAGAAAAAATAAAGAAGAAGGAATACTACCACCACTACTTCTACTACTACTACTTCTAGTAGTAGTAGTAGTAGTAGAAGTAGTAGTATCATTACTACTTTTACGACTTCTGTAATGATGATAAATAGATAACATTGATAAGAGTAATGAAATGATAATAATAACGGTGATAATTATAGAAAACAATTAATAACAATCAATAAAGTTGGATACAATATCTGGCTTTTAAAGAGAAGGTTGAGTTCTGGGAGGTGAACAATAATTTGTGAGCATTACTCATTCTTATTATGCAAGTGTGGAAGAACATCAGTTAAGACATGTTCCCTGAAAAGCATGGCTCTTCAAATGCCTTCATATTCTAAATATGCATGTAACATCGTAAAAATCGGGGGCCGGCTTTTTACGCCACGTGTTTGTGTAGTCCCATATACATCTTTCTGTGCAAGTGTTTGTAACTTTACCAAGACTTGGCCAAATTTCTTATCATTTTGATGATTCCAGAACCTTGCAATACACACAAATTCTTATATACCCTATGCTAGATGATCAACCTTTTCTGGTCGGTTCCACATGCACCGTTTCTTTCACAATGCAATCACATGACCAGAACTCAACTTCATCTTTAAGCGCACTTAATTAAGAAAGAAAGCAAAAATGAGGTACAAAAACATATGTACAAATGGATTTGAGAAGGGGCTACCAGTATTTGCCCTCCCCCCTTCCACTCACACACACACACACCCACACGCACGCACTTTTTTTTATTTTTTATTTTTAACAATTTTGTTTTATTTCTCCAGATGTGTAATACAAACCATGACATACAATTGAATAAAATAAACGTGTTCAATATTGATGCTTTTACATAGACATAATTAAACACAAACTTATTTGCAGTATAATATAACTTAGCAACAAAGTAAACGTATCAGTATCTAAACATAATATGTCAATTGTAAATGTTATTTACTTATATATTACAAAAAAAACTTAAACAAATCTGGAGGTAATTTTACTGAAACAATCCTGCCCCCTCCCTGCCCCCTCCATCACACAAACATACTCCCCCTCTATCACACAAACATACTCACCCACCCACACACATACTCACCCACCCACCCACCCCCCCCCCCCCCACACACACACAGTACTCACTCAGTGGATGTCTGCCAACATTCTCAACTCAAGAAAAATATACTAAATAAGTTATCCAGGCCGCAAAATCGAGTTACGCTTTTAACAGGCTCACGGTGGAGAAGAAAGCAAATCTTAATTAATCTTAAGCTGCTCCCACTTTAAGAAATGTGATCCTAGCTTTCCCATTTTAATTGCTATTTTCTTTTCCTCATCCTATACTTAAAAATGCTTTTTTTCATCTTTTCTAAAGTTAGTACTCGCCCCCCCCCCGATCTTGACATAAATGTAACATATTTCACCATGAAAATGATAGTATTACACATTTTTATTCTATATGAACTACCTACCAACCCAACAAATATATCTCGCCATTCTAAATCTTTAATTTCATCTAACTCAAAAAGTTGTATTAAAGCCTGCCATATCCTTTGAACGCTCCCACAAGATAAAAATAAATGTTTGTATGTTTCTATTTCCTGCTTACAAAACGAACATAAATTATCACCAACTAAACCAAATCTATGAAGATGCTCATTAGTGTATATATGGCTCCATGCAATAATTTAAATTGAAATTCACGTTGTTTTCTAATGAGTATAGTAATTGGTCTAACAAATATTTCTTTTAATCTTTATCTATAAAATCATAATCATTTTGCCCATCCCTTACCTGCAAATCATACGTTTGTTGCAGTGCTTTGATAAAATAATCATGGATTGTTCTTGAACCCACATCCACAAACTGTATTTTTTTACTAGAAATATGGAAATAAGTATTAAAGCTTATCAAATCAACCTCGAGGAATTCTATTAACCCTGAATCATCCTTCCATATTACCTGGGTATCGCATCATAAATATCAATAATCATAAGCAAATTATTACCTTTCATACCGAGGTTCATAAAATATTTAACAGACTTAACATGACCTTTCTCAACCAAATGATTCAGTTGAACAATCCCTCTTTCAAACAAGTATCTATCGCACACACACGCAAACACACACCCCCCCCCCCAAAAAAAAAAAAAAAAAAACAAACAAACAAACAAACAAACAAACAAACAAAAACAAAAACAACTAAATCATCCTGAAGATGTCACTGGATATCGTGTTTGTACACTGTCCCTGGCTGGCCTAGTACATAGCGAAAGCTCTATCCGGGTATATTCTTTAAAACCTTTTATCCATAGGCCTATGCCAAACGAATATTCTTAACGATGAGAACTGCAAAAAAATCGAGCGCCATCTGTCGAGTGTTTTCATATATCGATACTAGGGTCTACACCACAACTGGTTTTCTGAATCTTCGTCGGCTATCATTATGTTCTGTTATTTTTAGACTAGATCTTGTACCTTCTATACCATTTTCCATTCGGCATAGCTTCTATACAGTGCCTGTGCTTCACACATAGCCTGACTAGGGCTAGATCTACATGCATTATCTGGACATAGTAACAAGAAAATGGCGAGTGTTGCCTTGAAAAGTGAAACGACACGGCTGGGTTCTGGTTTGGCCAACAAGAACTATGGACGCTCATATGGGGCTACAATGAAATCACAACAAGAGACATTTATCCAGCATGAAATACAGCCAGGAGAAACGCTTCAGGGAATTTCTATCAAATATGCAGTGCCGGTAAGAATAAAACATAAGATATTGATTCTCATTTGACATTTTGTTGAGTGACAATGATATTCAAAGTGATTTTGTGTTTTAATTTAGAATTAGACTTGCTATCATTCACTTATCAGTCAGAATTCTTCATGCTTCACACAGAACACAGTGACAGCAACAATAACAATGAATGATTGATGACAGGCCTGGCCTAGTATATTCACACAATATGTTCTACAGTTGTCTAGATACAAGAACTGTTTATTTTGTAGATCTTAGTACAATTTTCTTTATGTGATCACTGATGAGAAATAAATCATGTGTCAAGATTGAGGTATATTATTAGGTCTAGACTAGATCTAGAGATCTATAGAGGGTCTAGACCCTATTTGTTTTTGCAAAGTGAAAATGAAAATATGAAATGAATGATCAACGTGAATGAAAAACCAACCTGTCTGTACAGACGTTATGTTTTCAGGCAGGGTGGTCATCAGAGGGGATGATTACAAATGGTAATTCAAACAAGTTTACCTACTATATTTGATGAATCAGTTTTTATTCTGTCTTACTGTAATTCCTGAGCGGGATGATACTTTTTTTGGGAAGGTACATGTACATGTCTAATGCGCTGTAGAAGAATTAGAAATTTATGATATCGTTTCATTATTATTAGTAGGAGTAGTAGTAGTAGTAGTAGTAGTAGTAGTGTATCATTAAAGATAAAGTTGAGTTCTGGTCATGCGATTGCATTGTGAAAGAAAAGGTGTGGAATATGGATCAGAAAAAATAGATAATGTAGCAACAGAAGCATGTACAATTGTACATGTCGTAAATATTGGTGTGTACTGCAATGTTCTGGAGTCATTAAAATCATAATAAATCTGGCCCAGTCTTGGTAAAGTAATAAGTACTGTACACAAATAGATGTACATGGGACTACACAAATGGTGTCGGGCTACTTACCTTGATTTCCTTATCTTTCTATGCTCATTACTCAGCCAGTATACATTTTCTACCAAAATTGTTTGGCAAATGACATTTATTTGTAATCTTGAACATTCAGTGTAAGTTTCATTTGATTCTGTGAGAATTACCAGAAGTCCAGAACTCAAGTTTAACTTTAAGTTGATTTTGGAAAATGTTTTAAATGACAATTATTCATGGGGGTCAGCAATATTTGATGCATATTTTTCATGGACTTCAACTTCAAGGGTAAAGATGACAGCTTTTCTCTTTTTTTTTGTCAAGTGTCTGTACATGTACACACAAACATCAGTTACCCGCTTCTCACTGTCATATGAAGTTTCTCCAATTACTAATTAGTCTTAGTGCTCTTGTAATTCCCCAATGAAACTGAAACACCTTTTTCATTGGTGCAACATTCATACCGGGTAACTGTTGATCACAATGAATGCAAAAAGAAAAAGAAAAAAAATTACATGGTTGTGTTCGAAAATAGTTGTTGAATATGTACATGTACAGATGTACATGTATACATGTACTTGTCTATTTCACTTCTTTTGTAATACACAATGTATACCACCTGATACTGGTAGTGGTGTTGGAGCAGGGTTTAGTTTAGTTTAGTTTCATTTCTGGTTCTGCACTTAGTCACTTCCTGAGAGCTGTCAATGGACAGGTATTAGTACATCTAAAAAAATGTACATGTATGTGACTCATGCGTCATTGTCTTAACCTTTTAGTGTATTGTATACATACATGAAGGTCATTAAAAAGAAAAGAAAGAAAGAAAGAAAGAAAGAAGGGGTTTGGTTTTAAATTTGGCTTGGCTGTAGATGAACATGTAGCCAGGGCTCACCAATTGAGCAGTTTACTACCATGTTTGATGAAGTGGGTAGTGTCATTTTGCTACTTGATTCTCCTTTTATTTTCTATATATCTATTAACAATTTAGTTAACATGTTTTTTTTTTTGTTTTTTTTTGGCACCAGCTTACAATGACAGACAGGAAAAATTGAAATTACAAATCAAGTAGGAAAGAAGGAATCCTTTTTGGCATCGATTGAATTAATTAAATACGCATTGTACAATGTACAGTGTAGTTCCAGTTTTTACCTTGATTTAATAGGCGAAATTGGAAGAAATCAATCATGTTTTGCATCTTCACCCGCTTTCCTTTTGTTAGGCCGCCTGTATTTTCTTTTTTTGATGGAAAACTTGAGAAACATACTGTTAAAATGATCTGTTTCAGAAAAAATCAAAATAAATATAGTGAAATCATCATTATGGCCTACCGGTAACTTTCTGTTTCATCTTTCCCATGCAAACCCCATGTCATTTTCTGAGTCCAAGTGGCTGACTGACATCTTTTTTTCTTGGTAATAACATACATAAAATGAGCTGTAACAGGTTGTCTACATTAATAACCCACTTCTTGTAATGGCCAAAATTAAACTGGTTGAAACTTTATGCAGCAAAAAACGTACAACCATTCTGTAAAAGGGTCTGAAAATCTGACTATTACTTGGGTGATTGCAATCACTTACATGTATGTATGTCGATTCGACAACTAATGGTCGTTATTTTCCCACTAAAAGCCATTTTCGTTTTGAGGGAAGCTCTAAATTAGTATTGTCTTCCAAATGCCGCCTGCAAATGGGACATAGTACCTTTAAACTGTAAAATTATCCATCTGCATCTCCTTGTTGGAGATTTCCTGCAGGTTGTGTTAACTTACTTTTGTCACATGTGTACATGTAGGTTTAACATTTCAAGTACTGTACAAGATTAAGTTACCTGGATTCAGTGCACTGTAGTCTAGAGTAATTCCTGTTTGTCACTTTCAAGCTACCTACCGGTACATGTTTGTGGAGGCACTTTCTAAACATATAAATAGGTATTGGCCAGGATATTTGAAATATACATGTCTCTCATACATCTTCTGTAACACACTTGTGGTAAAGTAAGATGTGAATGTTAAAAAACCCATAATAATTGGGGTATGTGCACCTAAGCTTCATAGGAAAAATATTGTTAAGTAAGAATCTGAAAATAAACACCCTCTCACACTCCCTGGCAAAAATCATCCTACCACTGATGGACAATCGCCATTCAACCAACAACCTGACCAGATCATTTATACAAATTTTCTTTCCAGGTTGAACAAATTAAAAGAGCCAACAAGCTTTTTAACAATGACATCTTTATGAGGAAGTACCTGAGTATACCGGTAGGAGACCAACCCTTACCGGCCAACGTACTGGAGAGCGCCACGGCCACAGCCAATGGTAGTCCAGCCAGGAGAGGACCTTCGACGGCTAAGAGGAGAGAAGGTAGCTCTGAGGATGATGAGGAGAATGGAGGCAAAGTGGAGGAGGACGACAGAGACGTTACCATGGACTTCTTTAACCGCATCGACAGACAAGTGAGGGAGAAGAAGCGCAACCTCACAAAGATAGAGAAAAACAGCAGGTAGGAAGTTTGATTATATGACGTGTGCTCCAGGGCCGATTGCTCGGTGCTCAAAAGTTGTACACTAGTCTAATAGTAATAGCTGAAGTTACCATTAGACCCAGCACTGTACTTAACTCTAACTTCAAACGTAACCTAAACTAAGCATATATATATATATATATATATATATATATATATAATTTTTTTGTTACAGGTATATATATATATATATATATATATATACCTGTAACAAAAAAATTGATGGATTACCAGAAGTTATTGGCTTTAATCACATTGATAAGTCTATTACATGTAAGCAAAGCTTAGGAGCAATGCATTTTCAAACATGTATATGAAGTTGGTGGCTTGAAGAAAAAAAATTGTCTTCTTCAGTGCCGTTTTATGTCAAAAATGTACAAAATAGGCCTCCTTTTCAACTCTTTTGCTGGTTGCAGACAAAAATATAGCTGGCAAGATTTTTTATTTTTTTAGAAGGTCCCAAAATTCAGCGATGTTAAATTGTTAAAGACGAGTCTCAGACAGGACTTAGTCAAAAAGCAGTTTAGTGAAACTAAAGCAAGAACAGGATGTCAGAAAGACTTGTTTTAGTGTAGGATGCATTGCAGCAATCCTAAGTCCTGTTCCAGTAAGTATTGTTTAGTGAAACAAGCCCCTGGCATCCGATATACCCTGTAGGCAATGTGATGAAAAAGACAAAAGAATGAACACTAGTTTATCTACATGTAAGTCTCAAAATTTAAGAGTTAAGAACATGGGGGTTCCTTTTCATGTTTTACTATGTCGACGAAATGCTCACAAAACTCTTTTATCATTTTATTCACAGTATTGGTGAGATAGAAGCTATGACACCCAATATTCAGTCTGCCCCCTCACCATCCCAGAGCTACAGCAGGATAGCCGAGGGGGGCAAGGCTGCCGGAGAGAGCTACCAACTCAGCTCTGTTACTGTGGCAACGGAAGGCAATTCCAACCTGGTGGAGACCACACCCCCCGTGGAGGTGGGAGGATCCAACTCACCCTTGCTAGGAGGTAGGGGAAAGCGTAAAATGAAGAGTGCGGATAGGAGTTGGCCTGTCTGAAATGCACCTGTGCCTGTCATTGAATGTCCACCAACCAATGTGCTTTGTACTTTCTTGTGTGCTCTTCCTGTCCATTCACAGTAATACATATCCAAACTTCCGTCTCAGTTAGGGGCATTGATCCTTAGGAGTGGGGAAGGGGAGGGGGGGGGGGCGGCATCTTTGGAAGTCTTCCTCCACCTCGCAACCATTGCAGGATTTACAGTACTCCTGCGTACAGTGTACATGAATTATATGCAGTGTACTATTCTGATTAGCATGTCCCCCTCCCCTAATCTGAGAATGGATCAATGCCCCTAATCTCAGCATCTCTTTAGCTTTATTCTAATTGTCTCAAATGTACTTTACTATCAATTTCTGCTTTCAATTATTGACCCAAAGCTGGAATATATATATATATATATATACAACTTGGATGTATATTTGAAGGAAAAGCTTTAGGAGAACAAGCCAAGCATTGCTGACCCCAAAAAGCCTTTTGCAGTATGTTTGTGATATTGTAAATCTTGTTTTAATGCAATCAAATATATGTCTGCCAGTGGTAAATGTCCATTTCTCTTTTGTAGTTGTAGTGTGTTTTGAATGAAATTTAACCAAACACAAAATGTTGCACAAAAAGAATAAGAATTGTCACAGCGTACAAGTTCTCCATACGGCATTCACATACATGTATCACCTTACTGTTACACGTGTACATGTCCAAAAGTACAACACACCTATCCAAATTCCAGACACTAAGGATAATTTATGAACAATAAACCCACAGATTGCCTCTTGCTCGCTTGAAAATTTAGTGTGCACTGAATGTGATGTATATTCCAGCATCTTGGCTAACTTTCAATGCATAGTAATGTTTTTTTTTTAGTGTTGCCTTGTTTGTCATCAGTATACCAATTGATTTGTATTTGTGTAAATATTGGCTGTTGATTGAGTGCGTACATGTACACCTGTAGTAACTCGTGTTCGAGGTTTAGAAGAATAAGGTCACTGCAGATAATATACATGTACATGTATAGTGTACCATCATGAAAAACAGGAAGGCGGTGCAAATTTACTTCATATATGCGAGTATAAGTGAGAGCATTTACATGACATACACTGTACATGTACATGTCATATTTGTTGATCACATCATTGTCATCATGACGACAAAATACATAATATACCATGTTACAATATATTCCAATCTGAAATCATATTTCACTTACATGCAATGTGCATCATGTACATGTAGCTCTCTTTTTGTTGATATCCCATAAAATTGCTTGCAAAGAAAAAAAAAAAAAAAAATGCTCATAATATTAGTAAAATACTAGCAGTAATGCAACAGTCATTATTTTGTGTCATATGAAAGCTACACAAAATAGCAACTCATTTGAACTCATATTCAGTAGCTTTCAGTTTTATATTCTCAATTTATTAATCAATTTATGCAAAGAGTAAAAGCAGAGTGAAAAAGAGTAAAAGCAGAGTGAAAAACAGAATTTCTCTAAATGCAGCCTTCATACCATTATACACTGAAACATTTATAATGCTGCTGTTAGGTTGTTCTTGATGCCAAACATAAAGGAATATGATATATGAACATACATTTATGTTGCATGTTTATTTAAATAATTTTGTTGTTGAGTTTGTACAGTATATGTAAATTTATGTACAGTAAATATGATTTTTCATTTCTTTGTTCATTTTGTGGGAAATGCATATTGTATTTTGTTTTCATTATGACTCTGAATTTCGTCCACATGTACTTATAACATGTACAGTACATGTACAGTACATGTGTCTGTGTATTTATGTTTATTGTGTGGGTATAAAAGTACTGTACTGTGGTTTTCTTTCAAAACTGAAAAAAGGTGCAATTCTAAGCATGGACCAGTGTATACATGTAGGTGTAATACATTAAATCATGTCACTCTACAATGAAAGGGAACTTGTTTATTTTAGGGCTTGTGAATAGGTGTATTAATTGAGAAAGGAAAATATGGATAAACCTCCCATGGATTTAAAACCTACATCTCATAGCATTGTTTCAATTTATTTGATTGTATTTTCTGTCAACTTTTTCATCATGCACTTTACTAGAATATATAATATTTTAAAATTACCTGCAGATGATATCCTTTTTTAATTACGACACTGGTGATTAGTTATATCACCAACCATTCCATTTTCTCGAGTCTCCACTTGGACCTTGGAGAAAAATTACAGGGAAAAAAAAAATCAAAATTATCGTGACCAGGATATGATATTAAACATGTTTATGTCATGAATATCTAGTAAAGAAGATTTAGTTTTTACGGTCTCTCTTCAGATGAAGGTGAATGTACAAGTAAATACAAATCATTGTCTTTAAATATGAAACCAAAACAAAGACCTACTTAGGCACATTTTCACATTCTGTACATATTTTCTTAAGATGAAGAGGTAGATGTGTACCTTTCAAAACCAACAATTATCCTTGAAATAGTCTAGAAGAATATCTTTTTGAGGATCTAGGTGAAGGGGTTCTTCACATATTAATGTACATAATTGTACATGCAGATGGGGAGATGAATGTATATTTCAAAACTAGTAATTCTCTTTCAATATGAAAGAGATTGAAAGATGCTTTGAACATGATGCAGGCAATCAGTGCATTTCAGTCGTATTTGAAATATATGTAGTTTGAATAGATTTTCACCTGATTTTCATCTGTATTTATTAGACACAACATATGCATCTAGCGCACTATTATGGTACATGTATCTATCTACACATAGATTGTAGGAAAAATGTATTTCATTGCAATCATGACAACACTTTCAGGTTGGTTTTTCTTTCCATCTTTATTTATTTCAAGCAATTTTGTTGTTTCTTTAGTGTAGTTCTTCTTTTAATGCTCTGGGTTGTATCAAGTGCAATTGATTAGAATATTTGTTTTTATATTTAGAGGCTTATTATTTCGTCAGATTTTCCAGTAGTTTTAGCAATAGCATTTTTCTCATTTTTATGTTTTGAAAATTTACTGCTTTTCAGCTAAACAATATTTCCTGATATTTCTCCCTTTAAAAAACTATAAGAATACCTCCTTTTTGTGCGACCAAATGAAGTTAATCATGAAAATGAATTAAATATTTGTTTGTGTTATATATTAGTGCATGTAAATGTAAGTGTTCTTACAGTATTATAAATGTGATTTTAGTGTTCTGTATTAACCTTATTATTAATGGCAATGTGCTCTTGACTCAATTCCAAAGTGAATTTCGTTGGTTAGCTTGAGAATGGGGAACATATTGAACATAATGATACCACCTTTTTAACACTTGGTACATTTTATAGGGTGTGCATTGATACAAATCAATGCTTGGCACATGGATTTTTGACCTTTACTATAACCATTATGTGAGACATGCAGGTACGAGTTTTGCCGTGCAGTCACGACTCACAAGCATTATAATTTATATGCATGTACCTTGCATTGAATGTTCACCAGCACTTCTGTGCCTGCCTGTAACCTTTAAGCACTTCCATATTAAATTCAACCTGGAAGCAAACACAATGCACAAAATTATTGTTCACACTGAAAGTGAAAGGAAATGACCCTCTCAAAAAGAATCTGTCAAGTGCTCAATGTGTTTGTTATAGGAGCATGTTAAGGCTTTGCATTTTGAAGTACTCATACATGTATATATAGCAGGTTAAGAAAATAGAAATACCCCAATTTCCAAATAAGAGGGATGTCACATCATATAACTTTAACAATAAATTTAGAATTCATTCTAAAATTAAAATTGTTTTGGAATCCTCTAAAACCTACCAGTACCCTTTTCTGATTTTCAGGTGATGTACATCTAAGTTTTCAAGTATTGAGTCCCATGATATCTCAATGGCTGTCTCAGGCATTGTATTTCATTTAATTTTAATTTTAATTTATATACACACACTTTAATATATTTCCTCTTATTTTTTAATTCATAGTTTAGAAAATAAGATTGGGGTGGGGGGGGGGGGGGCTGGGACTTAATAGAAATTGATTTTCATTATGGGAATTACTATGCAGAACTAAATTTTATTAAGCCCATTGTTGTTTTGGGCATGGTGTAAATCTGTTGGATAAATAGATATAATCAGTACCTATAATGTCCATGGTCAAAATTATTTTTTTATATCGTGCAAAAGTGTGTGTTTAGAATAATGAATTTTAGTCGAGTTTGACAAACCAGTACTTAATAGGTATATGTTACATTTGTAAATGTGTCTTGCCATGTAATTTTTAAAATAAAATGAAAAATGTAATGCATCATTAAATGTCATGGTTATGTAGACTGATAACCCTGTTTTATTTTCACTATCTATCTGTTGCTGGTAAATGTTTTGCTGTTGTGTGAGTTTGCTATTCAGTCGGTGAGTCATGTTGTGTACTTACATGTAACATGAACTTTTATTTATTGACATGGAAGTTTACTGGTAGCATGTTTTAATCTTGTCATGGTTGATAAAGATCTCTCTATTTGTCAACATGGCATGATTCGCATTAGGCTTGCTTGACATGTGTTCATATTTGGGCAAGTCAAAGCCATTTTTGCCTTACAGTATTGACTATTAGTTCATTGGTGCTTCGATAAGAAAAAAAGATCTGAAGTAATATGATAAATTTGATTAGAATTTAGGCTGAGAAATATTAATTCCTAGCTTCTCGTCCTCTCTTCCTCCCCTTTTCTGTAACATTCTCAATATTTTTGTTGTTTGATATTTTTGTTCTATATAACATTGAATTACTGATAACAGAGGAAATTGAGATTTTAACTTTGTTTTGAGCTTCATGAAATTAAAATAAGAAACGTTGTGTTGAAATTGACCAATAGCATTGATGTGCACAGTAAAAGAATATAAAACAAATGAATAACATAGAACCCCTGCAATAATTTTATTCTTTAAATCCGGACAAGAAACTAGGAATAAGTTTTTCTTGGCTTTATGTTCAGAACTCTGCCATACTCGGTAGCATACATAACATGGAACACAGCACGACCGAATACCTACAATAGGACGGGCCAATTTGTGAAAACTTGTATAAAGGCATGCCGAACGTTAGATTTGTGGATCAATATCTAAACTTGAATGCCAAGTTCCTAGCCATGTTTGCATTTTTCCTTCACAGAATATGTTTGTGTTATGTATCATCTTCATACTAGCCTTGCATGCTGCCTTCATAGATTGTCGCTGATGTTATTCAAACAAACACTTGACGAGAAAGAAGGCCAGATAAGCTTGCTTTCAAAGCAAATATAGTTATCGAATCCAGATAATGGTTCACTGTGTTTCGGGCTGAAAATCAAAAGTAAAAATTACTACGTCTTGTTAGCATTAGGATACGACAAGGGTCGCAGTTATTATTGAGTTTGTAGGAATTGATAGTAGGAATTGATATTCTTTTGAAAACATTTTCATGAAATTGATTGTGAATATCATCTCTAGAAATAAAACATTTAGTAGTCATTTTTATAAATTTCTCTGCATCTCTCTCTCTCTCTCTCTCTCTCGCTCTCTTCTGAGTTTGTTTCCTTTCTCTCTGTTTGTCCATCCTGTTCTCTCAAAAGTCTTTCTTCGTTTCTTGAATAATGTGCTTCCAAAGCTTCTAAAATAGGAAATATAAAGTAGTAATGACTATTTTCGAACTATTATTTGATATATGAGGTCGTATTTATTCTTTTTTATAGTCATTATGGTTGACCATACAAAAGTATATACTTGGGAAATTAAGTCTAACCCCTCCCATCTCCCTGATCATATTGAATGGTTTACATGTATATTTGTGTATGTAGCAAGAAAATCAAGTTGTAGATGTACAACGATGAAAGCAGTTGGATTCAAAGATGATAATAACGAGTACTATAGCTCGTATCGAAAGTCAAAATCAGCTGTTGGTACAAGTTCGAGAATTTGGTGTAATTCCCGTATATTTATGTACATTGATTCTCCAAAAATTAGCCCTCTCCTCCAAAATGGTTCTGCCCCATGGCATGTATTGCACTTAACTGGTAAGATTTGCATAATTGACACGGGAATCCGCAGAAAGTAGTTTACACGTGATTTTTGTTTTCGTTTTAAGAATCTTGACTGACTTCTTCATCAAACCTTTCGGTTGCAGAACAAGGACGTTTCTCACAATATACGTCTTTTCACAAACGAGAATCACTTTAAAGAATCTGTAAATTCGACATAAATTGTAATGACAGACACATTGTTAGTTCTGTAATCGTCAGCTCATCTGAACACAATATTGTAGATCATGCTTCTTGCCAAAA